AAAAAAAAAAGTCCTAACATAAAATAAATATAGATCAAAATGAAGCTCTAATATAAAGAAACTAAGAGAACTAAATAATTTCCTAATGTTAATTTTAAATGCATTAATCCTTCTAGCTATGCCTGTGCCTTTGCATTCATACCAGTAGTGTTTTTCTTGTTCTTTTATCCTGACAATCTTCACATATATATTTTAAAGAATGTCGAATGTCAATGATCTTCAATTAAAATAACATTTACATCGTTTTTTACCTTCTATTTTTTATTTTTATTTTTTTAGAATTTTTTTATATGTATACATTATAGGTTTATATGTTCCTTTTCAGGTTGCCTTGTCATATGTTGCTTTTCTTTATTATTCTCATTCTCTTTTGAGGATGCCTACCTAAACCTCATGAAGATTATTCAGGTTGGTTGATCAGTTCATGTTTTTTCTTTTCCTTTCCTTTCCTATGTTAGGGTAAAACTTTTAACCTTGCAAATACTCAACCACCACAAATAAACTCTCCTCTTATGTTATTTGATTTACTATAGATAGTAAGTGGCTAGCAACCACATCAAATCCCAGAAGGTAGACTAGCAAAAGATGCCTCAGTATGCAGAAAAAAAAGTTTGCTCAGAAACTTCTCTTATTCCTATCTTCATTGGTTTCAATCAAAATCACTGTTTTACAGTTTTTGCATTCTCTAACATTACCGTGATCAAAATCCTCTCAACACTTTCAGAAATGTCAGACTCGATTTGCGGCCAAAGATTTAGAAGTTTTGAAAGGAAAATGATGAACAAGGCAAAAAAACTGATATAAAAAGAATAATTTGAACAGAATAATCTGCAGGAACTATTTTAGCCGCCGCATAGTAACTCTGATTAGTTCTGGCCGCTTAACGTGACCTGAAGCAGGTCCTCTTTGCTGCACGAACAATGTCTTGAACCTGAAAAATAGACCCGAAATACTATTAATAAATGTCGAACAGAGAGGTTGGGCTTGCAGAGCTACACAGTTCAAATGCTGAAATTTAACACTCTTTTTTCAACAGTATTCTTCATTAGCTATCGCGTATTGGTCTCGACAATTCCAGGATTCCCCAATGCAAACTTAATTCTCATCTCTCTGGGAGAAGGAAATTCTAAATGACAATTAATAATATAATACTTCCATAAGATATCAAATCAATGTCAAACCATAGAATAAGTGTTAATGAGAAAAAGGAGAACAAGATTAAGGAAACGTTTATGGAATGATACACGCTGAATTAAACAGTGTTCTTATTCCAGAATAATAATTTCCAGTTCAGCCTCAAATCTAAAACCCCAAGTAAAATTTAAAATCTTCCATGATAGACCTTTATGCAACATAAACCATCTTAGATAATCAATCTATAATTTTATGGCCACCTCTCAAAGCACGCCCTAGATCAGATGAAAGCAACACTTCTTTCAGTGTTATACTCATTCAACTCCCTAGCACACGAAACAAACTCATTAAAGGACAAGAAAAAACCTAACTAAAGGAATCTCATACCTGAGGAACAGCCAATCTTTCAAGATCTGTAGAATAAGGCATGGGTACATCAGCCCCTGCAATCCTCTCAACAGGCGCATCAAGATATTCAAAGCTATCTTCCACAACAGTAGCACTGAAGGAAAACAAAAATAATTAGTTAACGTAAGTAAAAGAGGCCTAATATTTGTGTGTATGTGAGAGAGAGAGAGAGAGAGAGAGAGAGAGACACACACACACACACACAACATGATTTACCAGATCTCAGCACCAACTCCATGCTGCGGAAATCCTTCTTCAACAGTCACAAGCCTATTTGTTTTCCTGACAGATGCATTTATTGCAGCTCGGTCGAGAGGGCGAATGGAGCGAAGATTTATAACCTGCATGAATATATAGAACCATAAAGAGGTTGACATCATTGTGCCTTTAAAACCATTTAAGAACAAGCAAAGGAATGGGAGTTCTGTTTGGGTTACCTCGGCGCTAATCCCTTCTGCTGCAAGAATCTCAGCAGCCTGTACAATAGTACATGAAAGACCAAACTTAGTCCGAGAGGCAAGATAAAATTATCGACGTGAAAGTAAATATGTGCTTCGAACAATCCTAGATAAATTTTAAGATTTGAATCCTTTATGAAAAACTATGCTGCATATTCTCTTTATATAGAAGATGGGAATCATAATAGACAAAGGAAATATTGGTTACAGGAGTTACTCTCAGTTGAAGGTTCGTCTTACTACTTTCTAGATGGTTTGAAGTTCCATCCTACACTATATATTAAACTTCTCATCAATCATCTCACATTACACCCAATAAATAACGGCCCCCTATGTTTAAGCTTAAAAAAATATCGAACAACTGAAAAATGGAGAGTCAAACCGAAACCCATAAGTCACTAGGCTCCACGACATGAACCATTGTAAAATGAAAATAAGGCCTAAAGTGGTATTAGAACTATCTAGGTTTGGTGAAATAGAAAATCACGCCAAATAGATAAGTAGTCGATTTCAATTCATTCACAGATTGATAGGACAGACCTGAAGGGCATAGCCAACCATCTTTGAGAAAGCAGTGATTGTTACATCATTTCCCTCACGTTCTATCTGAAGAAAAAGAAAATATTTGAGTGTTAACTAATTAAAATTTGATAAAGCAGAGAGAAAGCACAATATAGTTGGATGGTACCTTAGCTTTCCCAATAGGTAGACAGAAACTAGAATCAAGAACTTCCGCCGAGACAGGAAACGACTCACCATATCTGTAAAACATAAAAATCAACTAAAGAAATAAACATTGATAGAAACCTGTATACCAATGTTATGTCAGATAAATAAATTCGGATTGACATGAAAATCTTTACTGTAACACCACATACAGCAATTCATTTTCAAGGAAGACAACAGGATCTGGATCCCTAATAGCAGCTTTAAGAAGCCCACGAGCATCTTCTGAAGAATAAGGAGCAAGTACTTTTAATCCAGGAATGGAGCCATACCATGCTGCATAGCACTAGAAAGAATAAAAGCTCAGTTACAATGAGAATGTCTGTTAGCAATCCCACAATGGTGTATTTCCTTTTATACAGAAATGACTTGATAAGTAAAAAATGTGTGTTAAATTTAATGGTTTATTTCAGGCTCTATATTTAGTTTTTGAGTATAAGTAACATATGTCTGACATTATCTAGCATTTTTTAGTGGAGGCAACTGTTGGAGTTTGTGCAGATTGAGGGCTTTGTACTTTTGAGTACGGACTTGGAGAGCTAGCAGCAAATGATAGCTGGGAGCAGATATATATATATATATATATATACAACCGTTGTTGAATGCTACAACAATTTTTTTTCAATTGGGACAGCGATTAGAGATTGGACCAAGATGATTACTCAAGTCACCTGATTGCTTATGGGACTGCAAGCAGGAGAATATATATACTATCTTATTATTATTTTTAGGGAAAGAATTGAACAGGGATCTACTCTCTCGCTCTCATTCTTCATTTTCTTTACTTTGATCATGAAAGACCTGCACGGGTAATTTCCTCTTTTCTTGGTTGAAGACAGTCAATATGCTGGACATACTACATTGAGTTCGAATCATAATTTTTTTTTTTCTTTTTTTTTTTTTTTTTTTTTGTTTTTCTTTTTTTTTTTTTTTATTATTATAATTCACATATGGTTATGTTTAGTTGATAGATTGACCACCTATTATTCAATACCTATGATCTACTACTTTACTTAGAGCCATAGTTAGATCATTGTATATGTCGCTAGAAACAACTAAATTGACATTTGATCAAATTTAGGCGTTGTCGTTCTTATGTGAAACAATTGAACGAGTTAATATTTAACGAATTAGTTATTTGTTGCTTGTGTTGTCGGTCTCTTGTCTCCCTGTCGATAAGGTCTTTGCTCAAGCTACTACATATTTTCAAGAAATGTTAATTTGGGTGCCTAGGTCAGCACGGCCATGCCTCATGGTTACGACAAAATAAATAATTGTTCAAGGTCATGTAAACATTTAATTTCTTAATGCATCATAAGTAAAAGGTCAAGAGACATCCTTAAAGGGGGGAAAGTGGTATTTCCTACACATATTTGCTCAAGAAACACTATTATGACTGAACTAGAAAAAACGATGTTCTAAGGTTAATTAAACAACCATTTGGTTGCTTACATTTTGATAATGTAGGTTGGAAGGTGTCGAATTATACGTGTTTAGACGATCTGCACCGAGAGAAATGATAAAAGACATTTATTATTTAACATGACTCAAGGGCATAAACAACCCATACACTAACACCATAGCAGACGTTGTTAGCATTACAGAATGTAGACATTTTCTATTTGGTAAATAAGACAGCAGCCATTGAGATAGAAAACTACACTCCCTACAGACAGATGAGTCGTGAACTGATGCAAATGAATAGTAAGTCAAGGAAATAACTCGATGGACATTCTCAATCATTTTGATTGTCATTTCAATGGAGAAACTATTAATAATATATCACTCAGCAGGTCTAAAGTATATTGTGGTCAAATCCATACCTGAGAATGTTGAGCACCCACGCCAGCAGCAGCACCATTTGGACCTCTGAAAACAATAGGAACTGATATCTGACCAGCAGACATGTAGTTTGATTTCGCAGCAGAATTTATGATGTGATCAATTGCCTGCAGTAAAAGTAGAAGTTAACTTTGTATCTTTACCTAAGATCAATTAGTTGTACTAAATTATGCTGATAAAACTCTTCATGATCACCAAATGCAGCTAAAATTCAAAATGCATCTGAAAAACTCCCCCCAAAACCCCCTCTTGGCGAATATGCTCTCTTGATGAAGTGGTTATCAAATTAACCCAAATGCTTCTGCAGCAAAACTAGGAAGTATAAAAAGGTGAAGCTAGTATCAATCCGCAGCAAAAATGCTGCAAATTATTAAAAAAATTCTAATGTCTTCGCCTCCATAAACTTGTTCACAATAGCACGCTAATTGGCCAACGTTGTTTCTGAACGCCTCATCCTTCGCAGAAATACAGGATTTCAGGTATCCCACAACAACAGGCTTGCTTCTAATTTAAAATACTCAGTTTTTATTTCCAACTATACTCCTACTCATTTATCTTGGATTAGAGTCATCAGACTAGTAGTTTTATCAAGATTTGTTTACCAAGTAGACAATGAATAAACCAAATAGACATTAATGTAACAAGAAGTATCTTAACTATATTGACTGACATATTTCAATCTGTGTATAATAACCATAGAACTCTTTGTGAGATGAGGCCATGAGGGAGTATCAAATTCTTCTCGCGAGCCCAATAGTTTAAACAATTCTTTTGACAGTAGATCCAATTAAATTTTTGTACGTTGTCACGATTATCAAGGTATCATAAACAAACAATAAAAAAGTGAAGTTGAAGGCTTTCCATGGCTGAAATGTGATTCTCTTGAGATTAGGCACAAGACAGTGAATATTTTAATATAAACTCTAAAATCAAAACTAAATTTCATGAGAAATATGTATGAACTATGATGGAACTTGGAAAAGTGAATGCATTGATGAAAGAAATATTTTCTAAAGTTCCAACCCGAAGCCAAAACATTGTACCAACGGAAAGAAATCAAACCTGCATGGAGAAGTTAAAAGTCATAAACTCTACCACAGGCCTTAATCCATAATAAGCAGCACCAACTCCAATTCCAGCAAACCCAGCCTAGAGGAGAAATGTACGATTGAGCACCAAGTTTTACCACTTCACCAGAGAAAATGCATCAATACAAATCAAAAGCCAACCTCAGTGATGGGTGTATCGCGAACCCTCTCAGGTCCATATTTGTCCAGCAGCCCTTTGGAGATCTAACGAAAATATTTTAAAATAAATCTAGTTTGCAGTACAGATATTTTATTACAGTATGGAGATTGTAGTTGAACAAACACTCACCTTATAAGCACCCTGATACTCGCCTACCTGTATAACAACACTAAAAAAGTTTAAAATATCATGCCACCCAAAGAGAATAGAAGAGAACTTAGAGATTTCCTTTTTCTTTTCATAAACAAAAGAAAAAAAAAAAGATGATTAAAATTCTTCTAGTACCTCTTCACCCATTAGAAAAACTTTGGGATCAGCAGACATCTCTTCATCAAGTGCTGAATTTAAAGCATCACGAACTGTCATCTGCAACAAATGACAATGAAAATTAAAGCAAAATTTCACCACACCACTGTAGCTATAAACATGTAACAAATAAATCACATAAAACCTGCAACGACCCTTGAGCGAAAAAATAAGATGCCTCCTACTGATTCCTGAACTCTATCAGTCACTCACTCAAACTAAAACTATGAAGCCAGATTTTACATGTAACTAGTAACAAGAATCAGCATATAAGAACACGGGAAATAAAATGTTCCCTGTTTTTGGTAAAATTCAGACCACAAAATGCAATTTCAAGTCCAATAGACCCACAAGCATAATGTTATCATGCCATTTAGCAATATCCATGGTTTTCCACCACCCAACTTAAGTGCCACTACATACATCAAACATATACTCGAACTACTATGATACAGTCATTCAATACCTCCTTGGCAGAAGAAGAAAACGTCCTTGACCCTATCGCTCGAATTGCTTGGTCCAAACTCTATCAAGACAAACAGGACAAAGAAAAAAAAAATGAATAGTACAAAAAAGAACAACGAAACAAAAAACGGTCATGCACACAGCTTAATGGCAATAATCGAATCATAAAAGTGAATCATAAAACTGAGAAAGCGCCATACCATCAAAGCATGATTGCCTTTGCAGGCCGCTGTTTGCCTTATAAGCCCCAACATAATTTTCCCAGTATATCTTTCGGCAAAGTCCCTGATTAACGTCAATAAAACACAAAAAGATCATGCATATACACATGAACACATCAGTATCAGATCCAATCGTACACACACAAAATCCATCTTGAAAAAATACAACATTGAATACCTGTCAAGTACCCAGAAACCGACCAGATCGTAACTTAATGCGCAGGCGATAAACCGTGGAAAAGGAACAAAAATAAATTCAANCAATATTTACTAGTACGTATGGACATGAGAGAAATATTAAATAAAAAAGGGTTATCCATTTTCTACCTATTTTAATCACCATTAAGTTCCGTTTAAGCTGAGTTATCATCAATTTTCTACCTCTTTTAATCACCGTTAAGGTTATCATCCATTTTCTATATTTTTTAATCACCGTTAAGTCTAAAAAAAATAGGGTTGTAATCTATTTTTCACATCTTTTAGTCAGCATTGTTTTATTAATCAGAACATTAAACGTGAGCATGTTAGGACTAACTTGTAAAATAATTAATATATTATCTCACTAACATATTTATACTAATATAAATTTAATTTTATAATATATATTTATTCCTTGATATAAGAGAAAATAACAATTTTACTTATTCTTATTCTCTATATAATAAATTTTTTAAACCCTGTTGCCATATAATGTCATTATTATTTATAAAGTTATAGAAGTTGTACGTCTTCTTGTTCTTTTTATTTTATGTAATGAAATATATTTAAAGCACGTTGGTATTATTTATATAAGTAATCAATTTAAAATATGTAAATAAATTTAAAATTAAATAGTGTATAAATAATATACAAAATATACACATTTATTTTTTTTTAGAATTTAAATTTGCATACTAATTAAACAACTTTGATTTAAGAAAAATCATGAACTCAATCTCTTCTAATATCAATATTTTTCTAATTTGCATTGTAATGATTATTCTTACTATATATATAGATTAGAATTTTTGGGACACCAACCAAACTAATATCACAACAACCAAGTAACAATTATGAAAAACCCATAACACAACAATTATCAATTAAATTTGGTAACAGAAAAATTACATACATATATACAAAAATATGAGGATTCTATATTTCTATTAACTGATGTATACACCACGTGTATATTTTGTTAAGGTATATTGGAATGTTCAATTTCATAGCATAACAATCAGTCTTAAAAAATCGAAAATCGTATTGAAATGCCATATTTTTCTGTTTAAAAAAAAAGTTTCCATAAAAAATAATTATATCATAGCAAATTCATTGTGTAATTGAACAAATTTATATAATGAAGCCCGATTTTCTGTACAAAAATAAAGCAACAACTTTCACATTTTATGGAAATCAATTAATGTTGGTCCGTTTTTGCTAAGAAAATAATAAATAAATAAATTATAATTAATGGAAAGTAATAAATGATGAGAGAATTTGACCATATCTGTTTTTAAAAATCGTAACAGAAAAATAAATATTAAATAAAATTATATAATACGGAAATAGTAATGATCATAAATGCTGTTGACTTTTCTAGCTACTAAATTTGGTAAATAGGACTCCCTTTAATATAAATATAGATATTATTATTTTAGATCATTTCCCGTGCAATTTTATAATAATAAAATTGTAAACACAGACTTTAATGAGTTTCCTTTGGCGGCCGGGTAGCTGAGACACTTTGACCTGTGTCGTACTCGTACACCAATTTGGATCTAGATGGAATTTCACATAATTAGCTCGTCATATTTAGTTTTTTTTAAAAAATGCATATCTTCCTCTTATATTATTTAATGGAGAGTTTTTACAGATTTTTTTTATTCAAATGCCTATCGTCATATGAAGTCATGTGTTCATCTAAATTTTTCCTTCTTAATTTCCTTATTAATTTTTTATTAGCTAATCCACCATCATTTTTTTCTTCTTAATTTATTAATTTTTTAGTTGCTAACTAGGAGTGTGTATGCGTCATTGTTTCTTGGCAAAATTGCATATAATATCACGACCTTTATCGCGATTGCAAATTAGTCACAACTTTTCGACTTTTGCACAGAATATCACGGCCTTCAATTTCTTGCAAAACGATACACGGATCTCATCAGCTGTTCAAAAAAATCTAACGTCGCGAACAAAATGACACCTCAATTAATGAGTTGTATTTACCATCTGTTTTTTATTTCCACCTCACCAAGAAACAACGTCGTTTCGTCTGGCGTGGTAAATCGGTTTTTTTTTTCACCTCATCCAGAAACAACGTCGTTTCTTGGTCAATTACATTTTAAATTCTAAATCTGATTCATTTCAAAAGAACCCTAAATTGATGAGCTGAGGAAGAACCCTAGAAGAACCCTAAGTTGACGAGCTAAAGAAGAACCATAGAAGAAGTTGAGTTGCTATGTTAAGAAGACAACTTTGACACTATGTCGACTGATTCCAACTCATATAGGAGAACAAGTTCGGCAGCAACATTCCCGATTTCAGCAGTTCCAAAATTAACATGTCGACATTTAGAAGAGCCCGATCTTCTCACCTCTCATACTGATCTGAATCCGGCTAGGAGGTACTACCGGTGCAAATATCGAATGGTAGGTGAAGTGTAATTTATGTTTGTATGCTCAACAAACTGAATGAGGATCTTCTTAGTGATGAACAAATTTATGTTTGTGTGTTTTACTGTTTTATGTTGGAAGTCAGACAAGAATGGGGGTCTTATTGATGAACAAAATTTGGTTAGCTTGTATTTAGACATCATCTGTAGGAGATGAAAGCTATATACTGCACCTATATGTTTTTCTTACAGAATTTTGAAGTTTCTGTTGAAGTTAATATTTTTGTTCATTGCACATTACAGGATGATGATTGTAAATTTTTTCGTTGGTTTGATCCCGAGCACCCACCTTTCCAGAAAGCTAGTTATTTGAAGTTGAAAGGTCAAGTTCAAGTGTTGGAGGAACAATTTAAATGCAAAATGGTGATGGAGAAACTTCTGTCTGAAAGATTAGAAGTTAAAGTCAATGAGTTGGATCTGTTAAAAATGGAAAATGCTGAACTTCAGAAAAAAACTTGCAACAAGGAAAAAAACTGACAAGAAGTGGCTGATTTTAGTCATTGTGTCTTTGTTAGCTTTGGTGTGTCTAATGAGAAGAAGTTAATGCTTAGGTAGCTTTGAACAAGGATATTATGTTTGTTTTTATATGTTGTTCAATGTTGATGAGAAGATGGTAAAACCTTTAGCTATCTTTGTTGTTGTTTTTTGTAACTTTGTATGCTTAGCTAGACAAAGTTGCTTTATGTAGTGTTTGTTTGTACCAAGAACAAGGTTCTATTTGTACCAAGCTGGTTGTTCAATGAACATGATTTTGGTTGTTCAAAGCTGGTGTGGTTTTGTTTGCAATAAACAAGATTTTGATTGTTCAATGAACATTATTTTCTTGAATAAAACATCATGATTCATTATACTTCATTGTTTGTTTGTCTGTAATACCATATAGAACAAGACCATCTCATAATGCAACACCCCGCTAACTAGGGCCAATTTTTTGCAAATTTTAACTCTTTCGAAAACGCCTATAAATTTTTCGAAATCATTTGCAAACTATCTCGGGATGCTGCTAAGGACTTTTCTGCTTAAAAACCCGTTTCTTTAACCTAGGTCTAACGACTGGTTTAGACTTAAAGAATTCAGGTTTATATTTTTACGAATCATGCATATTAGTCTGAACCCGTTCGTACTGGCGAACCGGGTAAAATTATTTAAGTCTAGAAATAAAGTTATGCATGTTCGAAAATAAACACAAGCATAGCGGAAGTCTGAAATACGTGGTTATAATAGTTTACACAACAGTTTAAACAAATGTCCCGGGAACAGCTTTCGTGCGGAACTCACGACCACCACCACCACAGCTCGTCTCACGCCTGCCCGCCGACCCTGTCATCTGAAAATATAAAGTGGGGGTGAGTACGGTCCACTTGTACTCCATAAAAACCCATTCTAAAGTAAACAACAATATTAATAATGATATCACAAGCTGGTATATATAAGTAAACTGAAACTCCCGGAACTCTCTGACCGGTAACCGTGTGCACACTCTGATGGTATAACTAGGGCAAACTTGGCCACCACCAGAACTGAGGGAAGGCAAACTTGGCCTAAACCCAAAGTGGATAAAACTCATATACATACCTGAACGTGATATCGACTATTAAACTCAATGTATAACCCAGACTGGGTCCCCACCTGATCGGTTTTGAAAATGGATAAGTGCGGCTGTGCTGGTAGCTGACTCCTCAAGCTACATAAAAATATAAGCAAACAAATATACTAAGTACTATGCTCGTCATATGCTCAAAAATATGCTAGGATGCTCTACTCTATCAGATTACTCAACCGGATATAAACGAACGCTCTATGGGTTCTCTAAAATAATTCTAAGTCCGGAAATAATACTGATATGCTTAACTGATCTGGTTTGGCTCGGAAAAATACTTAAATTTCGGAATAAGACTCGGACCGAAAATCACGAACCAAAACGGACTCGAACCGCCGGCTAAACTGGCCGGTTCGCTAACTGGCTAAACCGGGTCGGGTTGGACCGGACCGGGTTGGACCACTGGGTCACACTGGACCGGTTGGTCACGGGCTGCTCGGACTGGCCGGGCTCGGTCCCGTGCCGGGCCTGCTGGGGCCATGGCACGGTGCTGGGCACTAGCTGGGTGCGACCGGGCCTCGGTACTAGGCGCTGCTGGCGCGGGCTGTGCGGCTGGCACGGGCCCTGGCACTACTGGTGCCACTAGGTGCGACTGGGCACGACCGAGAGTCACTGGGTGTGCTGGCGCGCTGCTGGGCACGACCGAGCACTAGGGACGCGGGAACTGACGCGTACCCGGGCTGACTGGGCACTGGGCGTGCGGCTGGCACGACCCTAGTGCGACTGGCGCGAGAGCTAGGGCTGTCAGGGTGCTGCCGGGCAACCCTGGGCACGCGGGCGTGCTGCTGGGCACGTCCCGGGCCACTGACTGCTCGGGCGCGCTGCTGGGCACGTCCCGAGGCCTCTGGACCTTACTCAGGGTCACTAAGGCACGGCCCTGGACACTCGGGTGCGCTGCTGGCACGACCCGAGGTCGACTCTGCGTGGCACGAGCAACTGGCTCGAGGTCACGCGTGCACTGACCCCGGGACAACGCTGCCATGCGCTGCCCGAGGTGCCCTGGTGTGACTGGCG